TTTTACAATAAAACAATTTTACAATAAAAAAATTTATTAATTTATATGATAAAATTTTTATGATATATGAGAATTGATTTATTCCATCATATTGATTTATCGGAAAAATCTTTATAGACTGTTTCTTTATGGACAATAAAAACTTTATGCTCGAAGCTATCGCGTGAAGATCAAGGTGCAGTTATGCAGAACTGGTTGCATTCTACAAGGCGAATGCATTAGAGAGGTCAATGATACTGTAGATTCGCAATATTTCTACAGTGTTTCTCAAGATGTAAAATACTATTCGCCTTTTATAATTTTGAATTTCTTTGTGTTAAAGAAAAATACATATATATATATTATTACTGTATCGAATAAAAATTGCAAAAATTACACTGTATTATTTCACTTCAATATAATAAAATGAATATTTTTCTTTCTTCTTTTCGTTATTAAAATTTTTCTAATAATATTACGCAATAGAGAAAGATTTGAATAAATTTTTTCCACTTTAAATATTATTATTTGCTTAAACAGAGAGATCTTTGGTGCGATCATAAAAGTTAGCTGAAAAATAAATTTGCATTGCGTTGGCGGTGAAAGTTGACGATGCTCTTGACTTTTACCTTTTCACTTAGCCCGATGTTCTATCACACTGTTCGCTTATATATTTAAAATTACAAATATATATATACATATATACCTTTGTATACCGTTGGAACACCACTTCTAGATATTTTAATATTTTATCTCAATAAACAATTTAATTCGTACTTCACGTTCTACTTCTTTACAACGTTCCATAATTAAATTTAAGAAAAGTAAAATATTAAAACTTATATTAACAATCATATTAAAAACAATTTCTCACCGTATTCGCCCCAATAATCTCCAGCTCCGCTTGCCTTGACCAAAAGCAAGGTGCCACTCGACCTGTACTTAGCAGCAGCTCTGATTTTCGGGATGCTGAGGGCTAATTGCAATTGAACCTCGTCGTCTGACAATCTGGCCCTCAAACCTGTCACTCGTAACGTGGAAACACCTCGTGCAGTGATATTCTTGAACTGAGCTCTATACCCATCTGGTCCCTCGCCAAGAGCAATATGGAGCTCGTCAAGGATGATGGGCTCCACCTCTGTGTATCCCAATTGCGGTAAACCTTACAAATTTCAATTTCAACGTGAAACCTCCAATTCCATTTCTCTCTCTCTCTCTCTCTTCTTTTCCTTTTTTTTTTTGATACGATTATATATATTTTTTTTTTTAATTTTACTAACGCTTTGTTCACATTTTAATAAGCAAGATTTTGCAAGGATTGTTACGAAAAATAGGGGAAAGGAAATAAGCGTATTCGAATATTATTAATCCGATCAATTAAAACTTATTATATTAATTATCGTGTTGTATTTATTTATTATACCAAGAACGATCGAAAGTAATGATAATAATAAAAAAAAAAAAAAAGAAGAGAGAAAAGCAGTGAAATAGAAATTGATAAAAATTCTGTGTAATGTTTTATTCAATCTGAATCGAACCTATTCGATCGTGCTCTCGTGTATAGTGTTCGCGGAATGTAGGACACTGGATGGCCATTCGAATACACCGTTATAACCTGCTTCTGTATCTTCTCTCTCTCTCTCTCTCTCTTCTCTCTTTCTTTTTTCTTTCTTTCTCTTTCTTTCTCTCTTCCTTCGAATGACACCACGTGCTCCAGCAATCTGTAATTCTTCGACTTTCGACTTCCGCACTTTTCATAAAATTCCAATTTTAGAAAATGGGACTCCCGTGCGATAGAACGTAGTCATCTAACTAACGGGTCTCTTGTTACGAATGCTGGTTGCTTTATGGGGGCTGACGTAAAGAATTTGTTCGAGTGTGCGAAATAAAATTTTTACGATTGTGTATTTGTATAACATTCTAATATTATTTGTGAGCGTATAGAGGAACAAAAAATGTATTTTATTATTTTTCGAAAAATTAAATATAAGATTAAATAATACGATTTCGATCATTTTAATTTTAATTAACGATGTTCTGTATTTTTGTGTATAGTAACTTCTTTTTTTTTTTTTGCCCCTTTTGAGACAGACTATGCAAATTTCTTTCAATTTAAATTCAATTTAAATATGAGAAAAAGTAGATTTTTCCAACAGTCGCAAAGAATCCTTCAATACAAAAATAACAATATAATACATTAACGATTTAAAAATAACAACGCGTTATATTTTACATATTCATATATTCACATCAGATAGGCTCTAATGTAAATATACTCATAAACGTACGTTCCAAAATCCACCTATCAACAAAAAAAAAAAAAAAGAAAAGAAAAGTGAAACGAATACCAACGTCTACCACATGGACGATAAATTCATAAAAAGAAAAAAGAAAAAAAAAAATAAAAATCTACAACCAAAATTAATTCGCTCGAGATTAAACCACAAGGTTATCCTTTATAATCGACGAATGCAAATTGTATTCCATTAATTATATCCTTAACAACAAAGGCGAGCAACTTCTTACCGTGGCGGAAGCGGTCGGTGAGTGCATTGGCCGATCTTGCAAGGCAGCTCTCGATATTGTAATCGCTTCTCGAGCAAGGTTCCAAAAACTCTAGTCCCCTGTACTTTCCGATCGCTTGCACGCCAACGATCACCAACGAACACGCGAAAACAAACGAGATGCTCTTCATGATACTCTTGCTCGTTCGCCTCCTGGTCAGATCTTCTTCGATCGAATTTCTCCGCGTGGAATGACCGGCCGTCAGGGATGCACCAAGCCTTATAACCACCTTGACATTGCCCCCGCTATGCCTTCGAGGCCTCTACGCCTCGAACGACAGAGAACAGAATCGAAGTGTGGATCGGGCAGCTCTCCGCGAGAGAGCTTTCCTTCCGTTCGGATTCGCTTCTGGGAGAGTGTCGGATTATATAATAAATCGAGGATGATTTCTTCGTTGTGGCAACGGATTGAGGATAATTCGAAAGGAACTTTTTGGAAGGAAGCGGATTATGAAAGATCGAAGGGTTCTTCTTCTTTTTTTTTTTATTCTTGTTTCTCTTTGTGAATTCGAATTCGATATTGAGAATGAAATTAAGATACTCCGATTGGAGAATTTGATGAGACGTTGAAAAGAATTTAATATTCGAGAAAATGATATTTTCGTGGTCGAAGAGTTTAAGTTGAAGATCGATGATAAATTGACTCGATGATTTAATTATTTCTAATAGGTTTAGTAATAATTGTTTCACGATACGATGTAAAGTAATATATGCTATGAATGAAATATATTAAGATCAATTATGTTAATCTATAATTAAAAAAGAAATTTGTCACGCTGTCGAATTATTTTGTAAGAAATTTGACAAAAAAATCATCGTTCAGAGCGACGACGAGTCACGTCGGTAAAACAGATCCAACAGATCTGGCGGTGATTTCAATGCGTGTACAAAAACTATGCGTGAACTGTATTTACAAATTAAAATAATTGTTAAAAGTTACATCGTTACAATATTCTTTTACGAAATATAATACTATAATTAAAATTTAATATTATCGAAATAAACGTTTCTTAAAAAAAAAAAAAAAGAAATTTTCACACCAACACTGCTTTAAAATCGTTTCATTTTTCCTTCCAACTTAACTTTCCATTCGTCTTTTTCCAAGAATCAGTATAATCAGTATGGTTACAATATAGTTGTATAAAGGTCAATGTTTATAATAATTTTTGTGATTTCGAGTTCGAGAAAGCACAAGTTGTTCTCGAGTCCGTAACGATCCTCATAAATTTCTTCTTTTTCTTCTTTTTCTTCTTTCTCCACTATTACATCAAGGTTGTCAATATAAATGGAGCACGTTAATTATTTTAGCGACTAACTTTCTCGCAGTCTCATTGTCTGCTACTTTCTTCAACAGCGTGGAAAAACGATTCGCGAAAAATATGGGCTATTGTTGAAGAATTCTTGAAGAATTATCTCTCTTTGTTGTACAACGAAAAAACATCGTATTTGAAAAAAAAAATTGAGAACAAAGTAATTTTGAAGCGTCGTTCATCGGTTGATTAACTTTCTTCCTCTAATTTACTTTTAAATTTAATCGATTCTTTTTTTTTTTTTAAGTTTTATATTAATAAAATCATCGGTGTTGATCTGTCACGAGATTAATTTGACATTTCTGTAAATCTGAACGATCATAATATATTTTTAAACAATTTGAAAAACTGCGCGCTCGAATAATTTACTCTGAACTCTATAAATACAAGTACTCGACTGACTCGACCTCCTTTTCATTCATCTAGGTAAATGAGTAAAAATGAAACATGTATTACGATGAACGATAAAAATTGGACGAATAAAAGATACGAGAAAAACGAGCGGATACGAAGAATGAACGTCAGAGAAGTGAATACGAAGTTAAACGAAGAATGTGTTAAGCACCGTTAATAAGCACCGTAATTCGATCACCATTGGAATTAATTATTATTGAGCGTCACGAAACCGCAAATACAACAAAATATTCATACGAATAATTTCAATTTCGAATTAACCATTTCTCGATCGAATCCTTAAATAAAGGAACAAACGAAACAAAATTGAAAATCATTGACATACGTTAAATATAGTATAAAACGGAAACGTGAAAGAAATCCACGTGATATAATACTTCACGAGCATATTCATTCAAGGACCACGATGCGCAAGATGCTCCACTTGAAAGAAGACAATGGCCGCCAAGATATATATTCTCGATGCGAGCGCTACGTTACTTAATGTCATCCTTTGAACGCAAATTATCGACGAGAGTCGACGTACGACGAGAATGCGAGGTCAGAGACCGTCAGAATCTCAAGGCGAGCAGCTATCCTGACAGAAGAAGAAAGTGTTCGTAATGGTTTATTCTTGCACGAGGGGAGGAAGGGAAGATTCGACCGATTTCCAAGAACCTTTTGAATAATCCTTGAACGTAATTTACCAAACAGGCAATTAATGCATGATCTTGCTTGGTTGACATGATTGGCGAGACGCGGTATGAGAGACGAATGCGTATGGAATAATTATAGGATGCATGGAATAAGAGATACTTGCGTTATAGATTCGTCCTGATCGTAATTTTATATGCGAGAAATGGAACGTTTAATTTGGATCGTTCCATTTGATCATCGAATTGAGATTTCGAAAATTCACGAGAAATGAAATATTTAAATAGCCTCTTATCGAAGAAAGAAAATTTTATTTTACCTAAATTCGTTGTATAATATATTTTCATTTATTCTTGCTTTATCATTATCATTCTCATTTGTAGATATATTTTATCCGTGTCAGAATTGGGATAAAAATCGAGCAATTGCGATTCAACGTAGCAATTAAAATCCATATTAATTATTATTAAATCATTCTAAAAATGTAATGAAGATACAGAATTAAACATTGATAAAACTATTTTTGATTGTCTTAAAAAATTTAATATTTAAAAAAAAATTAATATATTCTCCGTTTATATCTCGTGCTTTATACTTACATACCAATCCTCTTCTCTTCCATTATCCGGATAGAGCCTGGTTGCCTTTCGTAATTCCTCTTATTATCCTCGAAGAAAAAGGAAATCTTTTTAAACGAATTCTCCTAATTCGTATAAGGATATGGTTTGATAATTTTCTCGAATGGAAAATTGCGGAATGTGCCATCGAACAGTTCGAAATATCCGTCAGAGATGAGGTCGTTGAGTATAGGTACGCTTATCTTGAAGAATTGTTTCCACGTGTTATTTATAACGTGGTCAATGAAATTCTCGATGAACTTGATGCCGAAGAACAAATTCGTGACGTGTAACTTCATGTCTCTGATCGTGTTCAACTCCACTTTCACGTAAACTTTTGATCCTGGTTTCGCGATAACCGTGGTCGTTTGAACGAGATCGTCTGAAAAGACAAAATGACACTCGCGAGGATAATTGTATAATTCAATTTCTTGCGAGAAATTAGTTAACATCAATGATATTATATATCAGAGAATATATCAGAAATATCAACGATCTTCACCTTCTTAGACTTTTTCTTATTTTTGATTTCAATTAATATCACTTACAAAGCTGTAACATGAACGTTCCTCTATTTCTTATAGTAGAATTGAACGTAGATCCTTTGAATTCGTATGCACCTTTTAGACGTTTGTCTGGGAAATTTTGTGTATACACCACCTAAAAATCGAATAATAAGAATAAAGATTATCATCGTTACAGATATCTCTAATAATTTCTCTAAATAGGAAAATTATGTATTGATATTCTCGTAATTAACACGAGTTTAAATTTTCGACGAAATGATAAATAACTCATATTATTTCCCATAAGAGAGTAAAGGATTGTCAATAAGAAATCCATATAAGATTGGACAAATATTATTCCATACACGAGTAGGTACTCAAGTATCTATCATCTTTACCTTGTAATTCTTCAAATCGCTGGTGAACTTGGTCACCTTGCTCAAATCCCATCCAACTTCCTCGATGTCGTTCATTGTGATGACAAAGCCGAAATTGGGTATACCTCGTGACGTGCTCGCTTTTTTGATAAAAAATGGCTCGAAAGGAATGTGTGCTCCGTATTTGGGAACGCCTGTCTTAAAATAAGGTCGAATCTCGTTCAATGCACGTTGAATACACTCGTCGAAATCTGGGACGTTTGGATGGCAATCCTTGAAATGATCCTCTAGAAAAATATCACGAGATTAATATATTATTGTTGAAGAAATGAAATAATGAATTACAGTTTCAAAATTATCTGAAATTTTAACTATGGCGATCAAGTACGCAATAGTTTATGAGATGTAACTTATTTATTTTAACGAATATCGAATTACCATAAAATAATTACCATTCCAATTATAATAGAATTCTAATAATTTTAAAATGTAGGAATTGCAATTAGAAAAAATAATTTATTTTTGATGAGACTACGCTTCGCTCTACTTATATATCATAATTAAAATATTGAGAAATAACTTTAAAATTCTATATAATTTTCTACATCGATCTATATTTTCTTAATCTAATGATCAAAATCAAAAATTGTTCATTTACCAAATTCTATTGCTATCGATGATGAGCAGAGGAAAAGCACCAGCATTCCGGGAACTTTTATCGACAATAGCATCTCGTCTATCGGTAATGTCCACTTACTTCGTCGATAATCGAACGCACCAACAACGTTTTTCATCAAAATAATCACAATTCCAGGCTAACAAAACCGTACATGCGATGCTTACACTTTCACTCTCGGCCATACATCTGAGAGAAGGGTTAACTGTGTTTCGGTTTTGAGTGAGGATTTACGGCCAATCTTACGTAAGCTTGAGTCGAAATATTGGGGAGATCAGCATCTGAAAGAGATGTTAGGAAAAAAAAGAAAAATAAGATATCACGATTGAATATTTTGAAAAGAATACTTTTGTTGCTTATATAATTATCTTAATTTTGTAAAAGTTTTTTTTAACGAATAATTTAATAAATTGAATGGATTGAATTGTTATTGTGAATAGTCGAGAAATTTCTTTTTTTGGTTATTTTATTTTATTTTATTTTCATATATATTTTTAGAAAAAGAGAAAGAAATCTTTTTTGAGGAGAGAGAGAGAGAGAGAGAGAGAGAGAGAGAGAGAGAGAGAGAGAGAGAGAGAGAGAGAGAGAAGTAAGTAAGTTAA